TGGAGCTCAGACCTCTGTCTGATGTGGGGTTAGTGAAGATCTTTTCCAATTCTGTAGGCCGTCGTTTTGTCTTGTTGACCATGTCCTTTGCTTTACAGAAGCTTTTCAGTTTCAGGAGGTCCCATTTATTAATTGTTTCTCTCAGTGTCTGTGATGCTGGGGTTATATTTAGGAAGTGGTTCCCTGTGTCAATGTGATCAAATGTACTTCCCACTTTCTCTTCTATAAGGTTCAGTGTGGCTGGCTTTATGTTGAGGTCTTTGATCCGTTTGGACTTGAGTTTTGTGCATGGTGATAGATATGGGTCTATTTTCATTCTTCTACATGTTGATATCCAGTTATGCCGGCACTACTTGTTAAATATGCCTTCTTTTTTCCATTTGATATTTTTTGCTTCTTTCTCAAAGATCAGGTGTTCGCAGATGTGTGGATTGATATCCGGGTCTTCTGTTCGGTTTCACTGGTCCTCCTGTCTGTTCTTATGCCAATACCAGGCTGTTTTCAGTACTGTAGCTCTGTAGTAGAGTTTGAAGTCAGGGATTGTGATGTCTCCAGAAGTTCTTTTATTGTACAGGATTGTTTTGGCTATCCTGGGTTTTTTGCTTTTCCAAATGAAGTTGAGTACCGTTCTTTCGAGGTCTTTGAAGAATTTTGCTGGGCAGAGCTACGTCACTATTGTATAACTATTTCAAGTTTTAAGTATAGGTGCGTACGTATGTGGGCATGTGCACACAAGTGCAAGTGTACTTGGAGGTCCAAAGCAGGCACTGGATCCCTGGAGCTGGAGTTACAGGGGATGTGAGATTCCCAGTTTGTCAGAGCTTCTGCAAGAGCAGGATGTGCTCTTAACTGCTTTTTTGAGCAGCCCCCAAGCCTTCTCATTATTATTATTATATTAATTTTGAGACAGGCTCTCACTGTGTAGCTCTGACTGTCCTTGATCTCACTATGTAGGGCAGGCTGGCCTTGAACTCACAGAGACCCGCTTGTCTCCGCCTCCTGAGTGCTGGGATTCAACGCCTGTGCCACCACCCTGTCTGTAGCAAACACTCTTAACTGCTGAGCCACAAGCCATCTCTCCAGCCCCTTGGCTTTGTTTTTGTTTCTGAGATGAGGTCTCAGGGAGTGTGGACTGGCGTTAAACTTCCTACGTGTGAGAGAATGACCTTTAACTCCTGGACATCCTGCCTCCACTTCCCAAGTGCTGGGAGTCTAAGTATTTACCACGGCATGGTGGCCAACAGCTCTTTAAACCACTGGAACCAGGTACAACCTAGAACAGTCCAAAGCAGATATCAAATCACGTGCACACGGAGTTAGGGTGGGTACTTAACCGTGGGCGGGGATTTTCAGCCTCGTATATATCTATAGCTTCCATTTTATTAACGGACACATTGGGACACAAAGACAGGAGGATCACTATGAAATCCAGGCCATCCTGTGCTATCTAGCAACTTAGTTACTGACTCAAAAAAAAAAAAAAAAGGCAAACACAACTTTAAGTGCCTTCTGTATGCAGAGCCTAGGGAGGCATTACAGATATGTCTAACATCAAAACGTTGGCTGACAGAGGTGATCTTAAGGTGAAAATCGTTATTATGAGAGCTTTCATTGCCTGGGAACCCAGTGCAAACACTGGGCTGAAGCCTGAAGCTGCAAATACCACAACTTTAACTCCCAGAACACTGTAGTGAATCCTTTCATCCACCAGTTAGAAAAGGCAGCCAAGAACTCCGAGGTGAAAGGGTTCACATGCAGCAAGCGCATCATCTTTCCTTCACTCAAGACTGCTGCAGAACGTCTATGAACGGACAGGGAAGGGCAGTCCTATGGAGGGGAAACGTCTGGATTTCTGCTTCCTTGCCTCTGTCAAAGCCGTTCCTTCTTTTTCTTTTCTGGGTTGGTATATTATTTTAAGATGACTAGTGGAGATGGGTGGAATTGAGCAACACGGCCTTTATTTCTCCTTTAGATTGGAAAACGCTCACAAACGCTGGATTTTAAGAATCCAGCCTTGTAGCGCGTGGTGGCGCGAGCCTGTAACCCCAGCAACCGCGAAGCTGGTGCGGAAGGATAGCGGAGTTTAAGGCCAGCACTCAGTTACTCAGAGACTCGGACTCGGTCTCCAAGAAAAAGTTACACCCTTAAGTAAACTGGCACACGTACTTAGTCCGGGAGATACCAGCTGAGGATCCTTCATTTTGAAGTCCAGGAGCGACTTCCGCGTAGGCAAAAATAAATGGGTTAGAAGCCCACGGGACGGAGCGGTCAGGCCGGGAGAGCAGTGAGGGGCCGCGGGTGGGGGTGAACTGGCCATGGGGAGGGGCGAGCTAGCGATGGGGAGGGGCGAATTGGCCGTGGGGCGGGACTAATCTGGTCGTGTGGTTGAGCGAACAGGCCGTGGGGAGGGGCGATCTGGATGTGTCAGGTGAGCAGGCTGTGAGACGGGGCGATCGGACTGTGGGACGGGGTGAGATGGGCGTGGAGAGAGTGAGTTGGCTTTGGACGTGGCGATTTGGCCGTGGGGAAGGGCGATCTGCCTGTGGGGAGGGGTGAGCTGGCCGTGGGGCGGAGCGAGCTTGAATCCACGCCCCTCTTGGCTCGAGGAAGTGACGTGTACGGACAAAGGCAGAGGCCGCGAGGTGTCTGGTCCGGTAGGTAGAGTGGCGGCGGCTGCTGTGGGCTCCGGTCCTTGCCAGCCTCCGTCTCTCCTCGCCCTTGTCTCTCGGGTCCCGAGAGCTCCCATCTGGGTGAGTAGCGCGAGGTGGACGGAGGGGACGAGGCCAGGGAAGAGGGAGATGCTCACCCCAGCTGCCCAAAGCGGTGAGGCCCGGTCGTCACGTGACCCGGGCCTGCTCCACGTGCGTGTCCCGGAGAAGTCCACCGACCAGACCTGAGCAGGGACCGTGGTGACCTCGGATCGGGTTAGAGGAAGCCACGTTGTCGGAGGCTGGCAGGACATGTGCCTTCTCCACCCGCGCCCCTAAGCAACCGAAAAACTCTTTCCAGTCCTCAGTTTTCCCTCTGAGATAAGAGGGAACTACTGCAAGCCTGGTGTCGTGCGCGGCTCACGACCTCGTGGTTAAGTGCCCGGTTGCACAGATTGCTGTCGTGTTTAACTAGTTCCAGCTCTGACTGACACAGCTACAGTCTCCTGAGCCCTTGGGGCCAAGGTCAGCCCTTTTGCGGGGAGACTGCCATCTCGAAAAGCCCAGGCTTTGCCGCTCCACCAACTGTGTGATCATTTCGGTCTTTCATCCTTTTGATGAAGGGTTGGAACTTCTGGTGTCAGAGGCCCTGCCTAGGGTGGTGTAGCTGAGGGCAGTGATTACAGGGGATGGGCACCCAGTGAGATGGGACAGACCCCCAGGAGGGCCCAGGACTGCATAAGGAGCTTGGATCCAGTCCTTAGTTTTTTTTCCCTGTTTCCTATGTGGCGTGTTATCATTCCCTTTAACATGCTGGTTTTCCTGTCTATCAACTGGAGCAGGGAGGAGACAAGGGGAATTGTGGGAGTGTTGGAGGTACTTGTGGAATACTCTGGAGGCCAGAAGCTGTAGGATCAAGAGGTCAGCCTCTCCACTGTAAAGTAGTTCTGGGTGTACAGGGAGGGAGAGCTTGTGTTTGTATCTTCCAGACTGACCATCAGTTTCCCTGCTCATATGACCTCATAGAACCTTCCTAGGGACTATGATTTTGGGGGGTTTTAACACATTTTCCTCACCCGATCATCTTAAGAAAGGTATTTGAGCTTTTTAATTTTATATTTGATCATGTGTGTATGGGGGCTGTACATGTGAGTGCAGGAATCTGGGAGGCCAGAAGAGGGCGTTAGGTCACAGGAACTGGATTCTTGGTGGTTGTGAGCGGGCCAAAGTGGGGTGTTGAAAAGAGCAGCCAGTGCTTTGCCCCTGAACTGTCTCACCAGCCTCTCATTAGCGAACTAAAAGCTCAAGAGAGTATATGGTATCCGCCTTCCACTGTGGGTCGCCTGACTTCTCAGAGGCACACTTCATCACCACAGCCCTTCCTTGAAGTTCAGTGTCACTGTCTTCGTTGAAGAAAAACAAAGAGCCAGGCAGTGGTGGAGCACACCTTTAGTCCCTGCACTTGGGAGGCAGAGGCAGGTGGATCACCGAGTTCGAGACCAGTCTGGTCTGGAGAGTGAGTTCCAGGACAGTTATGGCTACATGGGGAGACCCTGTCTCGAACAGACAAACACAACAAAGAAACCTTGTATGGTGCCTAGTGGTGATGGCAGCTGTGGTGGTCTTGGTGACACATGCCTTAAATCTTAGCACTTGGGAGGTAGGGGCAGGTGGATCTCAAAATAGGCAAAATGAAACAGTATGGTTATGGTCAGCCTTCCTCCCTTTTCTGTCTCCATCTTTGCTCTCCCCTCCCCCTTCTCCTTCCTCCTCCTCCAGAGCTCTCTGCTATTTTCCCCTAGAACAGGGCCCACCCACCAGACTGCTGATGGACTCTTAACTCTAGGCAGGGTTTTGCTTATTTTGCCTCCAGTTGCCTTCAGAGTCTTCATAGGAATGTCTCAGGGTGTGGTGGCTGCAAAGGCCTGCTGGTGACAGTTCATACATCCTTTTCTTAGGAGGGCAGCTGCAGGTGGAGGGGGAGATGGTTAGCTGACTCCAAGGATGTGCAGGTGGCAGTCTGTCATGAGCAAGAGCCCTGCCTGCCCATGAGCTAGCCCGGCATACACATAGCCACGCTGCCCTGACCCTGCCTGCCCGTGCTATGCAGTTTCATGGTGTGTGGGGATGTCTTCCCTTCTTTCTTTCTTTCTTTCTTTCTTTCTTTCTTTCTTTCTTCTTCCTTCCTTCCTTCCTTCCTTCTTTCTCTCTCTCTCTCTTTTTTTCTTTCTTTTCTTCCCTCCCTCCCTCCCTCCCTCCCTTCCTCCCTCCTTCCTTCTTTTTGGCTTTCCGAGACAGGGTCTCTCTGTGTAACATCCCTGGCAGTCCTGGAACTTGCTTTGTAGACCAGGCTGGCCTCAGACTCCCAGATATCCACCTTCCTCTGCCTCCTGAGTGCATGGATTAAAGGTGTACACCACCCCCACCAGGGGAGGTGTGTTTTTCTTGTTGTCCTTCAGGCCACTCAGCGGACACTAGAGGTCTGTGTTCGGACAGGGCATGTCTTCAGGAATCAGCCGGGCTGGAAGAGCAAAACAGCCCTGGACTTTCCTTTCCTGGCCTGGAAGTGCTCTGCCTCCCCACCCCAAACCCCAGCCACTTCCTAGAAGCAAGTGGGATTCTTGTAAATTAGATTTTTAAAAATATTTATTTGTTATGTATACAATATTCTGTCTGTGTGTATGCCTGCAGGCCAGAAGAGGGCACCAGAACCCATTACAGATGGTTGTGAGCCACCATGTGGTTGCTGGGAATTGAACTCAAGACCTTTGGAAGAGCGGGCAATGCTCTTAACCTCTGAGTCATCTCTCCAGCCCTGTAAATTCGATTTTTCAAGAGACTTTGGCAATTAAAGGAATTATGCCATAGGCCTTGGGTAAAGAAAAAAAGGTAAAAGGGTAAAAGGTGTTGGTAACAGCCTGCAGTGTCCTCTGTCCTGGATGGTGTAGGAGCCTCCAAAAGTGAGAAACAGCCACAGCCGCGCATGCTCACACACTCAGTAAACCCCCCTCCCCCCAGCTAGCATGTGTCCCTGACTCCACCGGCTCTGTGCAAAGGGTGCAGTATGTCATGGCCACTCTCAGGAGCTGTCACCCTGGGAGGGGGCAGAGCAGAGTACCTCCCTTCTGTGCCAGACTCCAATTTTCCTGTTTATCTGGTAAGAACCGAACATCACTTTGGCTGTCTGTATGCTGCGTGGGCCGCAAGGAAAGCCCTGAAGTTGTAGTCCTCAGTGTTGAATAAGACAACTTTGAGCAGCAATCTGAGTTTTCTTAGGGCTTACGGGCAGCAAGAGGCACGGCTGGTTGCTGGGCCAGCATTGAGCTGGTGTGGTATGGGAGAGGACCAGATGCCGTCCTAGCTGGTGGTTGCTAAGGCGCTGGGACATGGTTGCTGTGGTGCCTGGAGAGGATCTGACAGCCCTCTTGGCCCAGGTCATCCTGTCAGTCCCCAGCCAGGTACATAGTGACACTCAGGCTGTTGCTTCCTGTCCAGTCCGGCTCTCAAGCCATAGTACCCTTCTGCTTATAGAGGTGGTTGGTCTCTCTGGAACCAACAGGGCTTCACATTCCTTTGTGGGTCAGCTGAAGGCAGCCTTCTATGCCTTCCCTGGACCACTATGAAGCATGCCACTGACTTCCCAGGCCACTGTCTTCCCTGGGCCAGTGCTGCTGCCGGTGTGGCATTGTGGTAAAGGATTGTGGGATTTAGAACCAGGGTCCCCTGCCCGTTACTCCAAGGGCCCCTTGGGTGTGTTTTCCTTTAGTCCCAAATCCTTGTAATGAGGAGTTCAGTTGTGGTGCTCGGGGGCTGGTTACAAATGGGGCCGCTTTGCTTTTCTTGTGTTTCATTCCCTTTCCAGTCGCAGAAGGACTTAGCAAGACCTCACAGCAGCCTATGGGGGCCCTTTCTGGCCTGGGCTCTGCTCCCAGATTCCCGTGTTGACAGTTTGTGTTGAGCTGTGACTCAGCGACACTGCCTGTCTTAGTGGTACCCAGGTGTGAAGTGTGACTGCAGGGTCCTGTCCCATGAAGCCAGCTAGCATTCCAGTAGAGACCCTTAGGCCCAGGACAGCATCACGGGAGCACACTGCCCGTGTGGGAAGAGCAGGTCAGGGGCTCGTTGACCTTGAGCAGGGCATTTGGTTTCCATGTGCCCAGGTTTCCTTTTCTGCACAGTGGGTGATGATGACAGTGGGTGAAGGTGACGGTGACAGTGGGTGGGTGACGGTGACAGTGGGTGAAGGTGATGGTGACAGTGGGTGATGATGACAGTGGGTGAAGGTGATGGTGGGTGACGGTGACAGTGGGTGAAGGTGATGGTGACAGTCGGTGAAGGTGACAGCAGGTGAAGGTGACGGTGACAGTGGGTGAAGGTGATGATGACAGTGGGTGAAGGTGATGGTGGGTGAAGGTGACGGTGATGGTGGGTAACAATGGTATATCTACTTGTGGGAAGCATGGGTGCTGAGCAATGCCTGAGCAGCAGCCCACACTATCATCCCTGCTGCTGCTATTTGTCCTGTGTCTTTTAGCACAGCCACTGCTGTGTCCACTCCCTCTGACGCCCTCAGGCTAGTCCTGGGCGCCTCCTTGCGCACTGCAAGTGTAGGATTAGTTTTGAGACTGACAGCTTCGAGCACTACTCAACCAACATGCGCGGGCAGACTGCAGTTCAGGGCTGGTCCTTGGCAAAAGTCCCCCTCCTCCTCCATGGCTTCTCGCCCACCCTGGCCCTGTCTGCCCATGCCACTTTCACTGTGCTTGGCACCTGGCAGAGACCGTGCTCTGGAATGAAGGGCTGGCCCTCCCTGAGCTGTTCGCTTGTCACTGAGAGACAAGAGGGGTGGAAGTTGCTCGGGCCTCCTACGGGGTCTCCTGCAGTGCCCATAGCAGAATGCAGGGGACCCTGCTCTGGGTTCTTTGCCTGTCCTGAGGTCACAGGTCATCAAGTCAAGGTTCAGGAACCAGACACTAGGCTTCAGGGTCCCTTGGTTTGGTAGTTTTGCAAAATGTCTGGGGTGCTGGGCTGTCATCCAAGAAGTAGATGCCTGGACAGAGTTTGTGCCTCACACAGTGAGTGTGGGGCTCGTACCCTAGAGGCTTCCTGCCATCCGGTGCTCTCCCTGCTCATTCTTCCTCTTCTGTCTTCAGAGGGGCAGAGCTGTGGTTGGTGACGCGTGGCCGGTGACATCATGACAAGTGAGGTGATTGAAGATGAGAAACAGTTTTATTCGAAGGCCAAGACCTACTGGAAACAGATCCCGCCCACGGTGGACGGCATGCTTGGGGGGTATGGCCACATCTCCAACATCGACCTCAACAGCTCTCGGAAGTTTCTGCAGAGGTTTCTAAGGGTAGGCAGGTGTGATGTCCTCTCCAGGAGAGGCTGTGGCTCTGGTGGGGCAGTGTGGGGAGCCACTTCCACATACCACACTGCAGGTCCTCTGGTCATCTCTCGGTAGCTGCCACCAAGGCCCTGAAGAGCTGGGTCAGGTGGTAACTGGGTGGGATTTGCGGACTGTGAATTTTGTCTCTGGGCCAGGAGCCAGGAGCTGGCTGTGCACTGTGGACTCAGGCCTGTCAAAACAGAGCAGTCTGGGAACAGCCCCTGTTGGGCCTAAGGGTGCTGGGCTGTGGGTGGTGACTGTCCTGTGACTCCTTGTCCTGCCGCTGTCTGTGTCCTCCCTTCTCAGCCTGTTGCAGCACAGGGGTGAGCCCTGCAGGAGGCCCTTACCCTTTTTCCACACCCCCACACCCTCACACCCCCATCTTCCCCATGGAGGCTCCCTTTTTTGCATCCTCAACATTGTCACCCTGGGGGCTCCTGGGGACCCTGGAGTGAAAGGAGATTGGGCACTTGCTTTTCTAGCCGTCACCTCGAAGGAGAAGCTGCCTCCCCTTAGAAAGAGTCCCACTTGCCCTCCCAAGATAGGCCAGTGCAGGAGCCGGACTCACATGTTCTCCGTGTTTTAGGAAGGACCGAACAAAACGGGGACTTCCTGTGCCCTGGACTGTGGCGCTGGCATTGGAAGGATCACCAAGCGCCTGCTCCTGCCGCTCTTCAGGGTGGTGGACATGGTGGACGTGACTGAGGACTTTCTGGCCAAAGCCAAGACCTACCTGGGGGAAGAGGGCAAGAGGGTGAGGAACTACTTCTGCTGTGGGCTGCAGGACTTCAGCCCAGAGCCCAGCTCCTATGATGTGATCTGGATCCAGTGGGTGATAGGTAAGAGTCATGTGGCCTTGCCAGTCCCCATGCTTACCATGTCCTCCGCCAGCCCCGCCAGCCTCGGGAGCCTAGTTCTGCTTCCCCGGTGAGGTGGCCAGCTGAGATGCAGCTCTCTCGGTTCTCAGGACTGTGATGAGAAACCTAAAGCCAGCTGAATAACTGCATGGAGGTGGAACAATCTTAAGTGGTCAGTGCTGATCTGGAGGTGTGGAAATGAGTTATTAAGGATTTATTCTTTTTAAATTCTTCTCTCAGGAGCCAGAGAAATGGCTCAGCACTTAAGAGCACCGACTGTTCTTGCAAAGGACCTGGGTTTGGTTCCTAGCACCCACAAGGTGGCTCATGGCAGCTTCCTCTATAGCTGTGGGGGGATCCAGTGCTGTCTCCTGACCTGAATGGACATCAGGCACACACGGCGCAAATATGTACATGCAGACAAACACCCATATACATGAAAAGTAAATTAATTAAAAAATAATTTAGAATGATGTTTTTCAGGGTTTCTCTGTGGCTCTGGCTGTTCTGGAACTCGCTCTGTAGACCATGCGGACCTCGAACTCAGAGATCTGCCTGCCTATGCCTCCCAAGTGCTGGGATTAAAGGCATTTCCCACCATGCCACACTTAGAATTTTTTTTTAAAGATTTAAAATGTATATGTGTGCTGGGCGGTGGTGGCGCACGCCTTTAATCCCAGCACTCGGGAGGCAGAGGCAGGCGGATCTCTGTGAGTTCAGACCAGCCTGGTCTACAAGAGCTAGTTCCAGGACAGGAACCAAAAACTAAGGAGAAACCCTGTCTGGAAAAATTTAAAAAAAAAAAATGTTTATGTGTGAGTGCCTGCATGTCTGTGTATCATGTGTGTGCAATGCCCATGGAAGCCAGAAGAGGGCATCAGATTCCTCTGGAGTTGGAGTTACAGATTGCTGTGAGCCACCATGTGGGTGCTGGGAACAGAATCCTGGTCCTAGAAGAGCAATTGGTGCTAGTAACTCAAGTCATCTCTCCAGCCCCTAAATTCTTATCTATTACTGTGATCAATACTCCTACTCCCCAATTTCCTCATGTAGCTTAGACTGGCCTCAAATTCAAATCCTCCTGTCAAATGGTAGAGTCACAGGGTACATGGCCAGGCCAGACCAGGGGCATTTTAAGAAAATGAAAGTAACTCTGAACTCCTGCTGTGGCAGTGGGGCTGTGGTGGGGTGCCCACATGGCCTAACAGCTCTCTGAACTCTGGGGCTAGGGGGTGCCCACATGGTCTAACAGCTCTCTGGGGCTGGGGTGGGGTGCCCGCATGGTCTAACAGCTCTCTGGACTCTGGGGCTGGGGTAGGGTGCCTACACGGTCTAAAGCTCTCTGGACTCTGGGGCTGTGGTGGGGTGCCCGCATGGTCTAACAGCTCTCTGGGCTGCTGTACCCAGGGCTCCTGACACTGTAGCAGGTGCATCCTGAGCAGCCTGCATAGCACTACTGTGACACTGGCCTGCCCTGTTGTTTGGGAGCTTTCTGCTCCACCCACAGATGCAGGCCTAGCAAGGGGTGGTGTGCCGCGCAGCTACCAGATATGACCGTAGGGAGCCCAGACAGGGCAAACCCCAGCTTTTGACTTGGCATATATGCTTTTGTGTGGGTGACTTCAGAACTCACACTTCACACACTTCTCTGTCCCCCCCCCCCAGGTCACCTGACGGATGAGCACCTGGCTGAGTTTCTGCGCCGCTGTAAGCAGGGCCTGCGTCCCAATGGCATCATTGTCATCAAGGACAACATGGCCCAGGAGGGTGTGATCCTGGATGATGTGGACAGCAGTGTATGCCGTGACCTCGAGGTGGTACACCGGATCATCCGCAGTGCCGGCCTCAGCCTCCTGGCGGAGGAGCGCCAGGAGAACCTGCCGGATGAGATCTACCATGTCTACAGCTTTGCCCTGAGATGAGGCCAGGACCAGCGCTAGGGGCACACAGCTGGCAGGCCACTAGACACATTTGCCATCCACCTTTGACTCCAGTGGGAGGGACAAGCCCTGGATTGTGCTGTGTATTGGGGCAGTACTGCCCTGTCACTCCAAGGCACCCTGGCAGCTCCCACAAGGATATGGGAAGCTAAGCTGCCACCATAGGACTGGCTGCCAGAGACCTGAAGTGTGCATGGCTGTTCCAGGACAGCCTGGAGAGCTGCACATGGTACCTGAGGTGGTACCACTTACAGGAGTGGTCAGACCCACATCCTCTGGTGATGGCTCGCAGCAGCCTGCAGTAGGGGGGGCTTCCTCTTCTTGAGCCCCTCCCTGATGGGCACTTTGCAGTCAATAAAAGAGTGAGCCCTGTTCTCAGATGCCGATGGGCACTTTGCAGTCAATAAAAGAGTGAGCCCTGTTCTCAGATGCCTCAGGCAGTCTGGCGTGGTGCTGTGTGGGCACAGGTGTCAGTCACACCCACTGATACACAAGGACACCAAGTTAATCTTATAAATATATTTTGTCATCTCTGCTACTCCCAAGGCCAAGCTGACTTGAGGTCTTGCAAGGGCTCAGCGACATGCTCTGGGAGCCCCTTACAAAGCCAGGCCTTGAAACAGACGGTCCCATTGCGCACATGACACAGTCCCCGAGACATGGATGTGGCATGAGCAGAGCTGCCACCGAGCACTAAAGGCTCGGGCAGGGCCCTAACCAGAAGCCCACCACCACTGTAGTGGCCTCAGTGCCCCCTCTTGCCCTTCAAAGCCTGTGAGATGGCAGAGTAGGGCCACACTGGATGGCCCAGGGTTTTGGCACTGGTCCCTGAGAGACCCAGGCATGTGCCTCCCCCAGGATCAATCAGCTGCCAAAGCTTTGAGGGGCCTGGCCTCTGCTTCCCAGCTTCTGCAAATGGCCTATCAGCTCCTGATTGGGGGCAGCTGTGTCCAGTCCACATTAGCTCCTCCATTGTGGCGGACTTGCAAGTGCTGAGGGAGGAGGCGAGTGTCTCCCTGGGGGCAGCTATGCCCTTGGCCTCCAGGGCACTAACCTAGTGGTTTTGTATCAGTAAAGGGCAAAGCTTGCCCAGATAAAAGGAACCTCAGAAGGCTGTTAAAGTACCAGGTCTACCCTCGGCTTGGCTTTAGCCAACCCAGGCCATTCTGTCCCAGGATCCATCAGCAGCTGTCTTCTGTGCCGCTGTGCACACTGAGCAGGTACCACTTGAGCCTGTCAGGCAGGGGCAGGGCTTTGACCTTGGTGTCCACGGGCCACGGGCGCAGGCACAGCCGAATGGCCACGCGGCACAGGTGTTTGAGGGGTGGTGGGTAGCTCTCCAGCTGCCGTAGGGAGGCGTGCAGGGCCTGGATCTTCCCTGCCAAGCTACCCACTGGGTGGATGTTGAAGTTCTCAGGCAGCTGAAGCCTTTGGGAGCTAGTCACCATGAGGTCCAGCACGGTCTCAGCCTTATGCAGAAGCTCAACATGGCTGTCATCCTCAGCACAGCCCGGGTGGGAACACAGCCTCTCAAAAATGAGGCTGAAGCCAGACCAACAGGATGCACCATGCAGGGAGCAGTTGTAGGCAGCCCCAGACTCCAGCAGGTAGCGCAGAAGGGGGAAGTGCAGCTTGAAGCTCTTGAGGCAGATGTGTGTGAGGGACTCGTGGGCTGGACACTCACTGGGGTCGGCCCCATGGGCCAGCAGAAGCTGTGTAACTTGGAAGCAGAAGCGGTTGATCATCGGGGCCTCCTCCTTGTCCCCGCAGACAGTCTCACCGAGTAGGAAGATGATGCACGTGAAAACAGTGTCCCCATCTTTGGTGGTGGCCTTAACGTCTGCCCCTGGAAGAAGCACGGAACAAAAATGAGAGTTGGATGGAAGTCCTTACCAAACTGGAGAGGGGGTGGGGGGACAGAGAGCAGAAGACAGCTGCTGTGGACAGCAGACCCTCACCTCCCTCCAGGAGGAGCCGGATGTTGTCTGTGTTGTGGATCTGCACCCCATCACTACTGGCCAGAGCATGCAGCAGCGCTGTCTTCCCTGGGGAGAGAGAGAGGATGAGGTCAGGGTGCCCAGAGATGGGAAGCAGGATTCCCAGGGCTGAGGGAAGAGCTTCTGGCTTTTCATCCACACAAAAATAGGAACAAGGCGGCCAGCAAAGTCAGCACCTGTCTGCATGCACACACTCACTTCTAAAGATGTCTTCTCAGGCAGCATGGAGAGAATGGCCACACCTCTCCAGGGTGCTAGACTCGGGCAGGCTAGTGCCCTCCTCCGTGTGCCAGCTGTGATTATGCACTTACCGTTCTTGTCAGCTGCATTAACATCTGCTCCAAGATCCAAGAGGCGCTGCAGGCAGGGCAGGCGTTCGGGTTCCTCACTGGCCAGATCTAAGGGGCTGCTCTCATGAATCTGGTGCCAAAGGGGATAGCAGCCATTTGGTCTGGGGCCTGAAAGGCTGGTTCATAAATCTACCACACACATCCAAGCCAACTGCACCTGACTCTTACCCGGTCCCTCCGGTTGATGTCAGCCCCATGGCGCACCAGCAGTTCCACCATGTCAGGCTGGTTTCTCAGGACAGCGATATGCAGAGCTGTATAATAGGTAACAGGGTCTGGAGGCAGAGAAGTAGAAGTCAGTCCATTCGCAAAGGCCTGGGACCAGCCTCAGCCTCTTCCCCAGCATGGCCACCTCAAGCGTGCAGATGCTAGGCCTGCAGTCCTGGTGTGTTCTGATGGGTATGCAACCTCTCCGTGTTGGCCTCAGTCTCCTGTCTGTTTCCTCTCAGGGCCATGCAGAGTAGCTGCTGTGCTCAGGCCTGGCAGTGCAGCCAGACTCTCACATCACCCTGGAAGGCCTTGACCTTGCTAGGTAGCCAGGGTCACTACAGATCCTACTGCCTCAGCCTTCTACCAGGCTTGGCTGTAGATGGGCTTTGGAACAGACCCCCATCTTCTGCTTGCAAGATTCACAGGTGCCTGCAGCTCTGAGCATGTTTCTCAATGAAAGGCAGTAGGGCTTTGTGAGGGTCAGCAGGGCCCCCCCACCTGCTCATAGGCAGTGCTACCTGTGTCCACCTCCTGGTGACAACCAGTGGCGGGACAGGAAGCAGGCCTTCCATCACCTCTGATGTTTAAGGAACCTACGAGCCCTGCTGGAGTAGGAAGTCCTTCTATGTTTTGCTTTTATTGGTTAATGAATAAAGCTGTTTAAGCCAGTGTCTTAGCAAAATAGGGCAAGGTGGGAGTTCCAAGCAGATAGAGGAGGAGAGCAAAGGTGGAGTGAGCGAGAAGCCATGGAGCTGCTAGCTGGAACCTTGCCGGTAGGCCACAAACCTCATGCTAATTAAAACAGAAATGGGTTAATTTAAGATATAAGAGCTAGCTAGCAATATACTTAAGCAACTGGCCAAGCAGTGATTTAAATAATATAGTTTCTGTGTGATTATTTCTAGTCAGGGCAGTTAGGAAACGAACTAGTGGCCCCTGCCAACAACTGGCACCAACGTGGTCAACTAAATCCACTTAAAAACCTGAGAGCTTGAAAAGAATTCTACACACACACACACACACACACACACACACACACACACACACACACACAACAAAACAAAGTTTAATACAGCTGCTTCTTGTTTGCTGGCAGAAAGCAGAGACGTGGCTCCTTTAAGAGGTTTCCTGACTCAGCTTTAGTGGCAAAAACTGCACAGCTTCTTTAAAAATCAGCTTCCCGGTTCTCCAGCAGGAAGTCTGGCTCTTTCAGGAGGCCGAGCACTTGAATGGGGTTTGTGAGCAGCGTGTTACAAACTGCTTAATGGCGCAACATAGACCTGCTGCATATCTGGAACTGGGCAGTGTGCACAGCTCACAGAAGTGGTGAACAGACCTCAGCCATGTTGGGCTGGGCGAAGCCAAAAGGCAAAGCAGCCTTAGTCCTAGCCAAGCCACTCAGCATTTTAAGAAGTGCTCCTGGGCTGGGCGGTGGTGGTGCACGCCTTTAATCCCAGCACTCGGGAGGCAGAGGCAGGTGGATCTCTGTGAGTTCGAGACCAGCCTGGTCTACAGAGCTAGTGCCAGGACAGGCTCCAAAGCCACAGAGAAACCCTGTCTCGAAAAACAAAAAAAAAAAAAAAAAAAAGAGAAGTGCTCCTTGTCAGAAAATTATTACAGATATACAATAAAGACAGATTCAGATAAAAAAGACCTCTAAATGGGTCAGTGTTGGATAAATGTTCGTAGGCTTGAGAGATGAGAAAGAATAGACAGTTATAAAAGGAATAAATGGTTATAAAAATAAAGTCTTTAAAAAGACAGTACAGACAGTCATAGATTAAAGAAAAAAATAAGCTACATAAAGATGGAATATACACAAAGTCTGGATTATGTGTATTATTGTTTTCTTTGAATTTTTTGACTGAATCAGCTAAGTACAGAGAGACATTTCATTGTACGTGCTGCAAAGCTAAACCAACATAAAGGTATTTTGACTTCAAAATTTGAGTCTAAGGATTTGTTGCTTTGGAAAAGGGGTTCTTTTGTTTCTACAGAGGATGAGAACCTGTGGATTCCTTCTAGACTGATGTGGTTTGATGGACCAAGACACCCTCCCCCCTGAAAGGTCACTGTGAACACACCCCCCAAAATTACTCTGCCCAACAAAAATCAGGAAGCAGTTTGGGCAGAACTACACCCAAATTCCCAAATATTGTTTATAAATGTTTGTTTACATTTAGAGGGGGCTATGCTATAGAGATTTGCTTTGGTATAGATCTTGGTTTATTGATACAAATTTAAGATCAATTTTGTTATATATATATTTCTGCTCTTGAATAAGGTATTGTTTGTACAGCTCATTTAAAAATGTAATGAATAGGGCTGGAGAGATGGCTCAGAGGTTAAGAGCGCTGACTGCTCTTCCAGAGGTCCTGAGTTCAATTCCCAGCAACCACATGGTGGCTCACAACCATCTGCAATGAGATCTGTTGCCCTCTTCTGGCCAACAAGCATACAGACAGAACACTGTATACATAATAAATAAATAAATCTTTAAAAAAAATGTAATGAATAATAGTTAATAGATACTCATCTATAATAGTCAAGCTTGTATCATGTTAGTTATTTTTCAAACCTTTCAAAGACTACAGAATATGGTATTTAAAATATTTTAAGAACTTATCACTTTTCATGACAGTGATACACATCTGCTCCTGGCAGTACCAATCTACTTCAAGAGGATGATGGGCATTGAAGAGGCTCCTCATGGAGTTTGCCAGCCATTTGGGCAAGAAACTGCTCTTGCCTGGACTGCTTGACTGGACTTGCAGGACCCACGGCAAAATGACTGCTGAAGCTGCCTGAAGAACATAAGACA